GCGTGCTGATTCGAATCGCACCTTGCTGCCCGCTGACGTTCGCGGCGCGCAGCTTGTGGCTAAGCCTGAGCCCGACTCGGATTAAACGGCACTACCAGATTAGCTCCCGCGTTCTCAGTTCATCCGTAGATTACGATGCGTTCTTTCTATGATACGATACATATACCCTTTGAATGTGATATCCCCGTGCAGCTTCCCAGCTACATCCGCCGTGTACAGTTTCAGTCTCAGCTCCGAACCATCCGTCCGCTACATACACATACCACTTCTCTTGCTTCGACTTCCCCACAATAGTCTCACTGTCGACGAGCTCCAGGTGCCCCTATTCCGCGAAGGTGAACGATCACACGACCTGTTGACGTGTTGCTGGTGCGCGCGCCTGAGACGCGCGACGTCAACACGCTGCATTCGCAACTCTCTTCCAACCTCCATGTACTGCGCTTAGCTTCTAGTGTATACCTTGGCCAGGGACGCATGCTAGCGAGTCCTCTCAGCAAATTCGTCTGCACCGTCTCTTTCAGTACAGCACTCTGGCCTGGCTTTCCTCCCTCCACCCGTGGGCTTCTCAGCATGTATCGCAGTACCTCTACGCGCGCTGTATACCCCTTGCAGCGTCTGGCTCTGTGGTCGCAGTTGAAGAGGTTCTCTGAGCATCCTCGACTTTGCATGTCGCCCTGGTGCCAACGCGAGAGGATCCCGCATAAGGAATGTGGCGGGGTGGCGCTCGAGTGATTATCTCAGTAGAACTATCTGACCATCGTGTACCCAGCCAGTCATCATCATGATGTACCGTTTTTCACTTAGAGGCTGTCAGGCTTCTCTAGATCTAAGGCTCCATGTCCACCGTTCACACATCTTCACATCATATCCTACGAAACCTCATAATCCGACGGTTGTTTCGATGCGCGACGCATCACTCCCCCTTGCAATATGTTCGTGAAACTGTCGGAGCCCCGCACGAGCCATTGCAGGCTTTGGTTTTTCCAACAAGCCGTGAGCCTAGTCCTCGGGCTATCGTATATGAGATCTGGCTGTACAAGGCGTGGTCGTCGGACCCCTCTTTAGGCATCAATTTTCGAGGCCGACCTCGTCGGGCCGACGCGAGCAAGCCTGAAGAACAACCTTGGGACGGGTACTCATTGCCAAGACCAGTACTGTAACTACTACAGACTCTAGATGTCGGAGCACGGTGAGGGCGGATGGACAACAGCGCGCGGCGCTTGCCGAAGGACCGACGGAAGGTCAGGTAGTTTCATCGTAGGTCGAATGCGGGGTCGTGTGCGCGAGGAGTGTGGATCCGAGGGTTGTGGCCGTGGAGAGGTCGCCCTCCTCGTCTGAGAAGGGGGCTGCTGTGTTCTAGGTACCAATATCAATAGTCGGATGATGAAGCATGTAACGGGGAACGTACGATTTTGCGGTAGATCGCCCAGTACGAGTAGTCCGCGCCGAACACATCCTCTGGGAGCAACTGTCAGCGAGAGATGGTGAAATATGAGGTGGGCTGGTACCCTTTCTCCACTTCTTCAGCACGCGCTCGTCAGCCGCCAAACTCGCGATACTCTTCATGCGCGCTTGAGCGGCCTTGGACTTGCGATCTCCTAGTGCAGCACGACGACGGTTGCGCTCCTTGATCTTGTTCATGATACTCTATAAAACATCAGCACATATTCGAAAGAAGCAGCGAATGAGTCGTACCTGAAGTTCCGTCCGCAACTTTAATTGCCTGCCCAACCAGCAAGATCACGATCGCGCTCCTCTGCACCTCAACGCGCTCTCTCGCCTCCTCATTCTTCTCGTGTTCCTTCTCCTTCCATGCCCTTACACGCGCGTCGTACTAAGCTTTCATAGGCTTCTACCTTCTCTTTCCCTCCAGCCCCTCCCTCATCCAGCTCCGCATCGGGCGTATCGACCAGCGGGAGCGACGGTTGGCCCTGCATATACTCATTCGTAGGATCGCTACTTGTGTCCTTCTTCTTCGCCTTCTTCCTCCCCTTCTTTACGTCCGCGTCGAGCTTCTTGATAACCGCCTCCAGCCTTTCCTCATTATCAAAATCCTCATCCGCCAACATTCCATTCCATTGTTACGAGGAGCACCCCCCTTCTGAGCCTTCAGCTCCTCCAAGCTCGTAGCTCTTCTTCTCGTTTCGCAAGCTTATCCGCCCTTGCTTTCGCCGCCATCTCACTGACCATCGGGATAAAGCTCACGACCAGCGAGTTCATGCTAAACGGTGCCCGGTGCCGTGGGCGTCGACGGGAGATGATTGTGGTGCAGCGGCATGGGCGCGTTCGACGGCATAGAGACCGTTGGGCGCATTGTAGAGTTCGAGGAGGAGCTCGGACGTCAGGGGCGTATAACAAAGGCATTCGGAAAGGAGGATCGGGTGCGTGATTGTGGGCGTGTCGAGGTCGAGGGGGACGTGAAGACGTAGCCGAGCGCACTTTCCTACTCTCTATATACTCGTCAGTATACTTCCACCTCCATGCATGGACATGTAGAGTAGACATACGAGCGCATCGGGGTTCACAAGTACAGCGCCCTCCCACAGCTACTCACTCTGTGCTCGCGCCCCGCTCTCCGCGTCCATGGCCTCGCCAAATAATAGCAGTTGCCCTGTCTCCGCTCCTTGAAACGCGCGACGGCCGGGTCGGTCCAGCCTGCCCAGACAATCGAGGAGCCGTCGTCGATGGCTATGGGCGTGTGGTGCGCTTTGGCGTCGGCGTCGTAGGTACGGCGAGGTTAGTTTGGGATTGCGAGTGCTGGTGGGAGGGTGACGATGTTTAGAGACTCGGGGCCTGGCCACAGGTATACAGGATGCTCCGAGTAGAGTATTACAGTACAGAAGATCGCTTGACTGTTGGTATATAGACTTTGAAGCCGTAAGCGCCAGGCCCTACGTGGGGGGTCCCGTTCAAGTTGGAATTGACTCTGATCCAACGGTGGAGCACTCGTCCGGCTCCGGCGCTACGCGCCTACCACACATCTGTATGTACCATTACCATGACCACCAGTACACCCAGTACACTCGAGAGAGAGAGACATCTAGCCATAACCGTAGCCCGAATGGTGCAACTCATCGCGATGCGCGCGTCCACGGCGGCAAGTGCACACGTTCCGGCGGCTCGTGCCGTTTTGCGACCGGTGGCATCGGGATGGGGCTCTCGCTCGGCCAGGCTCTGGTACCAGTACTTCTGCTACATGCCAATGCTGCTCTCGCAGACACCAACTATCTCAAGATACTACACGGAACAATATCGTGATCTCGAACTCATGGTCCATCGACTGGGGAATCTCCGCTCACATCGGCCAGTTATTGACATTCACAGCGCACCCGACGGACCACTGCCATACGTTTACCTCGGCTGCTGCGCGCGGCACTTCATGTGCAAGCAAACTCTATACCATCTGCTTCGCTCGTGCGTTGACCTCGTCGGCTTGTACATTGTTTTCTCACGCTTTCTCACGCGAGAACTGCATGCGTATCTACACCCATACGTCGAGTTCTGCACTGAAGCCTCCTGATCACCTGACTCAATCATCTCACAGAGTCAGGACAGCCTGCGACACCTGAGGGTGAGGTCTTCTTCAATACGGGTAGGATGCTCGATACGTTCTCCAAGGGCCTCATCCTCATCGCCCTTCCACCTCCGTACAGGAATACGGTCTGCGTCAAATTTGAGCGTTTCGCGCCTGGCCAATCCGACTTTGCCAATCCGACTTTGCGCCCGCTAACGACGAGCCGGATGGCTACAACTTGAATTCAGCAACATCTCCCACGGGCTGCAAATTTACCACTGGCTGGCCCCAGTCGCGAGTTCAATCAGCGCATCCTTTATCCTAGCGCGGCAGTGTTCCGCCGTGGCACCAACTTCCTGCCGTCTCCGTAACTCCTGTATATGTGCCAGCCACACAGCCGCACCAACGTCTACCGGCGTTTAGGTTTAGCACAGTAGTCGCATGTGCGGGTCAGGACAGCCGCGAGGATGTGCAATCAAAGCTGATCGCCCTAGGGCATGTCATTGTCATCCGCAAGGATACGCTCTATAATACCCTGAACAAGCATACTATAGTGCATGGCTGCTGGAGAGTGTGCAGGTGCGTTACGAAAAGCCGAGCTCGCCAAGTGTAGAAGGTGAACGAGCAACGTTCCAGGTCGCGGTCGGGCCGAAACTATAGGTGGGATGTGAACCCTCAATCCTTCGTCGACGAGGCCACGATTGTACGCCGTTGCTAGTACAACAACACTGAACGTGTATGTGACCCAATAAGAGTCCTCTGCTGATTGGAACACGAGTAGTGCCTGGTGCGCTAATCTGAATGGCCCGCGTCGGTCCTTAATGGAGACCGTAGTAAGCCGTAGGGCAGCTTCAGTGCTCCAGTGAAACAACATTTCGGCGGCGGCTTCGACGGCAATTTCTATAGAGCGCACAGAACCAATCGAGTTCTGTGCCCTAGGCTCAGGATTTGTGAGTGCAGCCTTTAAGGACGGGATATTTATCACCAAGCGATACCAGCGCAGGGTGGTAAAGGGCACGCGATATGTGTCTTGCTCAGTCAGAATCATCGTCCACGTACTGCAAGTATTACATTCAATCGGCAATTGAATGAAGAGGAAGACAGTCAAGTAACTCACATCTTCCACTCGTCTAGTTCTGAATTGGCGCGGTACAAGGAGAGAGAATCCAGATGCCTGAGATACGGATCGCCGCACGCTCTCGCCAATCGACGAAATACTTCGGATAGCTCACAGATAGCAGCGGCTTTTGCATCCGTGCGCTGTGCTAGAGCATTTGATGCGAATTCGCGGCAGACATGTGCTGCCGGCTCAGTACTTAGTTTCGGGGGAAGCGAAGTCAACGATGACAAGCTATTTTGCCCAAGTAAGATAACCAACCACGGGATAAAATGATGATGCATGCGTACTAATAATCCGTGCCCAGTAGACTGAGCCATACCCGCATATGGTGCATCTCGACCTCTGTTACGGTGCCGTTGAACTTGGCAAGCACACTACGTTCCAACTTGATGTGAAGTGCAAATTGAATGGCCAATCCAGCCACCGACCATGCAGTGATATCATTGAACCGAGAACGAGAGTTCTCAAGTGGTGTCCAATGCAGATACACAATCAGAGCCTGAATGTTTTCCACGGTGACATCTACGGCTGCCGCGCGCAACAACAGGTATCCAAGTACTCTGTCGAGTAAGCAGATAATGTCGTGATACCGCGGATGCCGATACTGATGTAATGATGGATGCCCTGTGTAGGGCCTGAAGCATGAAGATGTATTTAGCCTAAATGAGCCGAAGTTGTGTGCAGATAAACACTAGTAATCGTACTCACGTTTCGAGATGCCAATAACGAGCCCCGACAGAACAAACTGCCGTAAAGAGTGCAGTACTCGTTGTACGTACGCTGGCCGCTGAAGACTGCAATCTCTCGGAGAGCAGGGGCATCTGTTCATGGTGATACTCGAAGAAGCTGCGCTGACTTTGTAGCTTTGGAATGGAATGACTAGTAAAACTTGGACATACATTCCGAAGCAGCGCTCTGCTTCTTCCATTGACAGTAACCCGATTTTGACGGGATCGAGTCCAGAAAGTTCGGAGTCAGAGGCCGGCGGGTTGGTGACACGAAGACTTGAAGTCACGTAGTCGACGTGTGGAAGTGTGTTGGAAGTGAGCGTCACCGCAGGCGTCCCTACAGAGCTTGATTTAATACTCATATAGTGCCTTATATATAGAGCTTCACCGCTTGGCCGAAGGTCTTGTGACTGTTCTTGGAGAGCACGTAGATGCGTAAGAGAAGGATCTATGGCCTGAGACAGTGTTATCGCTGTCGAAGAGGCGTCGGAGAACACGGGGACGGGGCCAACCTCTGTTCCTTGAAGGGAAGTAGAGATGGACAACGAGCCCGGGAGTAACGCCTGCTCCAGAACATCCAGGCGACGACGGTGCTCCGCGATCTCCAGGCGTAACGCGTGTTTGTCTGCGCCATCCGCTCCGGGAGGCGGATAGGGCGCGTATGTCAAATGATAGTTGACGTCAGACGCGAACGAACACTCTGTGTTCTGATCCGAACAACGTAGACAACGCACACCCTGCGTTGCTGCATAAGTCCCGTTTGAGAAGCTCAGAAGCCGTGAAATGCGTACCGGGAGTACAGGTGTACACCGTTGCTTTCGAGAGCTACAACGAGAACAGGCTATTCCAGTACGTAGCCATGGGACGTTAGATGTCGACGGTAAAGACATGTATACGTTCAAGACGGGGCGGACCGCGAGGTGGTGACCAAGCTGGGGTCCTTGTATGGCACACTCGAGTCCTTATACAGCACATCACGGTCGTCCGGATGATGGTCTGTCGCATAAGTTACGGAAGAAACCCGAGTCAAGCCGCCCCGATCGGGCATTGCGTGCGCGTGCGGGAGGTCAATGAAACGATAACGCGGCCAAGCACAGAAATCGAGACTCCTGACCAGAAGATCTACGGTGTATTACTACGCTGTCACTATGAGCACTGCCATTCTCTCCGTTGCGATAAGGCTTCGACATACTGACGATATCATGTGTAGTTCCGTCGGGGTTTCACCAGTGCACACGAAACTTGGTGCTCCTTTTTCCAACGACTAAGTTACCCATGCCTCATGCACGGTTGTTGCTCACGAGCAGCACTTCGTCAAGGGCTCGATACCACACTTAAGGGTGCGTTCGTCAAGAACGAAGGCCTTCAAAATCTATGACTTTCGGCCTGACTAAGCCCGTGATGAGCCAGAAAGCTCTCGAAGGACTTCGAATTTCGTCGGAATTGCCGCGTAAGGTCAAAATAGCACGGTTTTCAGGTTTTCATCATAGTTCATTTTTGGCGAACGCACCTTAACGCGGGGCGCGTTCTCTATGAGCGCTCTGCGAGCGAAGTCAGATCGAAGCCAAAGGTTGTGTCCCATGCATCGTACAGGCGTCACTGACGACGTGACACGTTCGGCAATATCCGGCGGCCGACTCTTGCTGTTCCCAGGCCAGCGGAAATCAACCGCTCCCGAACACTTCACAAGCACTTCTCAGGCCAGCGGAAATCAACCACTTCCAAGCGCCCAAGCCCTTCTCAGGCCAGCGGAAATCAACCGCTCCCCGGCCACTTCTCAGGCCAGCGGAAATCAATCGCTCCCCGGCCACTTCTCAGGCCAGCGGAAATCAACCGCTCTCAAGCCCTTCTCAGGCCAGCGGAAATCATTCGCTTCTAGTTAACGCAGAACCCACAGGCACGAGGCCTCCTACAATCTTCGCGTCCGAGGCGCTCAATTGCACTACTCATAACACCTCAACAGCCAAAACTTGGTTATGATGGAAACAACTCTATTGTTCATGGGTGACAAGATGGTGAGCTACTCTGTAATAACATATGCTCCTATCTAGCTTTCCGCAGGGCTGCCCTTGTCACAAAGGAAATGATGCCACCCCACTTGGTATGCCACACATCTGAGGCGGTCTGTGGTCGGAGACTGCCGCTCTGGTCAGAGACTATGGCCCCTGGTCGGAGACTGATGCAGATGCCTCTAACGGGAAGTTGTGGCTCTGACGGAAGATATCTCCCGACTGCCGGTCAGAGCCATGTGCATGATCTTCAACGGCGCTCTGAGCCTGTTGGAGCCAGACACGTCTTCAGAAGCATCGTCGCGCATTCCCCTCTATCATTGATTGTTGTATCGCCCATCATCCTAACCTATTTGCAGATAGCCGCCGCGAGGTTACAAGGCTGAGAATGTACGTCTGAGCCGCTCACGCCTGGACGCCTGGGCCGTGCATGATGCGGCACCACGTCGAATTTTTTCCCCCTGACATCTGCCGACGGGAATGTTCGCATTTCAAACGCGCGGATAGAGTTCTTAGTCTCAAGAGACCCACTGTGGCCTCTATATCTATAAAGCCTACTTTGCCGCTTTTTCGGTCCACACTTGTCCACTATGGCCTCAGAAGACTTTGATCGTGGCATCGAGACCGCCCGTGCCGTCTGGGACAATTGGCAAACGTGCGGACTACATTTCGGCCAACACTTGACTGCAATGCCACTAGGATTTCTACCCGAACAAAACTTGCCTCCGTGCGTCATGGGGATTTATACACGGCAGTGTATCTCCCCTTTTCATCTGGTCTTCCCCAGCGGTCACCAACTTCGCCAATTTTCACCGTCAGACATCGTCGCGCCATCTATTCTTGAACCAACGTCGTCGCAGCACCCTACGCCTGGATCTGGTTTGGTTCTTGTCAACTCCGTTCTTGCGCACGGTGTTCATGCGTATGAGCTTCTTATACGTGCTTGCCGACAGACCGACAAACCCGATGCTTGGCTTGGGTTATATGCATTCGTGAACGGACATGCCTTGCCAATACCTACTCCAGTCGTTTGGACGATTGACATGGCCTTTTCTTACGCTAGTCCAGGAGTCATTGTCGAGCGTATCGATACGGGCGGCGACACTAGTCACCGGCATTTTGCACGACTACTGGAACCCTTGATGCAGTGTGACTCTCGCATGGTCTTTCGCGCAGAGATGATGGGCCAAGAACCCTCCCGTACGTGCAAGTAACTTATGTTAGCTGTCCGAAACTGATTTGACCATGTCTACCAGATTCACTCACATTGTTAGTGCTCGTACCCATGCACATTGTGCGCCCGGGCGTTAGTAATCCGCCGGAATACGACCAGGATATGTTGGAGGACCTATATGGCGAGCTTTTGGAGCAGGACGGCATCATATCGCCCACGCAAGCTGGTAGAGGGTCTGTCTGTCTCCTACCTGTGTACTCGCAGGCTGTCGCAGGTTAGTCCTTTGTCTCTTATAGTCTGCCACAAAAGAATGATGTGATGCGCGCTAGAGCTAGATGAGTCCAAACCCATCGACGCCGAAACTGTTGACGCCGACGCCGGCTTCGTTGGTGCGGAATCGGGCATCACCAAATCCTTTGGCGACAGACTCATTTGTGTGTTTGCACTCCGGCGCGTTCTCACCAGTGTGCTTACAAAGGTCAAGTCTTTGCTGAAAGACCGCACAAAGAAGACTCTCGAGGTGCACATTTTGCGCGAAGTCACAGTGACGGTACGCCCAGCGGATGACAGATGATATCGACTCTACACCCTTGATTGACCTAATGATTTGTATCGTTTGATTGTGATACCCTACATTACTACGCGCTGCTGCAGTGTGGCCTAATCAAATTCCATCCTCTCCATAGTACTGTTCACACTGGATAGTGTTTCAAAGAACGTTGGGCAGGTGGCCCACGTGGTACCCGTAGACTAGACCAAGTCCGCATGTACCCTAGCACCTCATCTCATACCCACCACGACCCCGCGGCACCGCGGTACAACGTTCGTTGTGTGAGGAACAGATGGGATGCCAGTGTGAACCCAAGTAATCTGGGCTGTTGTGTTGTACCTCATGCACCTCAGGCAGGCGCATTGGGTTGTGACTGGCGACGAACAAATATCTCTCACATATATATAAGTGCATTAACTGCGGATTCTTCAGTGACAACAACAATGACTACTCCTGTGGGTAGAACCGCACGACAGTCTCGGTAGATAAATCCTCGATGTCCTCCTGACTCGAAGACGCTCCGCCACCTTATTCCATCCTCTCCGCAATTATGGAAAGGCGCTGATCGGCATCGGCGGGGATTCTCTGGGCAGCCCGGATTGAAGTGTGAGGTTTCCACCGGATTTGAGCGTATAAGAACTTGGGGACAAAGGCATCGAAGCACTTGAAGCGGGAGCTATCCGGAGCAGTTTGCTGGAGAAGAGCCGGGGCAGAATGACGGACCGCGCGCGCGATATGAACAGATATCAGGATTCCAGCGGTACCCGTAGTCGTGGGTTGCTCCACGATTGCCGTGATGAGTGCAGGGTAGGCGTGCTATCTCAGGATATTACATTGAGTCAAACATATTACGCAGTAGCAGTATAACTCACCAGAAAGCTACTGCGAGTTGTATGGCCGCCCAGGTTTTGCTTCGTCCTTGTGTGCCACCGTCTCCAATATAGTCTCCTTCCAACGAAGGAGCGTATTGGCAGGCCTTTCGATGTAGCGTCCGAGGACTTGAGGTGTCAGTGATGCCAAGTCGGCGGGGTTCGGTGGGGTTGCGGCGGTGAAGGATGTTGACGATTTCCGTCGCTGCATGCGATGACCGGTTTCACGGGCGGCTTACTTGATCTGCTCGAACAGCAGCGCATTGGTCGAGTTTGTTGCCTTCGCTACGCATCCTCGTTGGCCCGTTTGCGTCCGCGGAGCACGACGCGTTGGACGCGTGACCGAGAGACGGTGTTGCAGGGCTGGGTGTTGAACGGCCTGGAATGTCCGACACGGCCATCTAGTCCGACTACGTATCATCCTATATGGAGAAGCAGTCAGTATGGCGCGAGTTGGCGACAACAAATCAGCTGCACCTTCGCACGTCACCGAAATGCTCGTAACACGCCCACGCGTCTTTGCCCAACACCCTTCTTTTCCATCTTACATGGCTCCAATTTTCTGTCGCTCGAGACGGCAGCATCATACGCTCGGCATGTGAGGCCAATGTACATGTGAGGCCGCGGGCGACATGCGACGAACCTAGTGTTGAACTCGGGATGATTGTAGACGCAGTGCTAGGCGTCCAAGATGAACTTGCGGGCAACTTGACCAGCGATTCTGAGGCAGTCGACAATGCCGACCCGGTTATGTGAGACGTAGCAAAGTCGCAACTGTAGTTGTCCAAATATAGATCGACGTCTTCGAGGCCATGGTCGCTGCTGTTGTCGGAGGTCGCTTCTGCGCAGAAAGTCATCGATCCCATCACTGTCTCAGCGAGCATTGAGGAATATGTGGAGTTTTACATACAATTGAGCCACCTGTCAAGCGAAGAAACCACTCCATGCGACGTGTGTCGGCAACGGCTTGGTGTCAAGCAGGGCCCGAACAGTATTCGTGATTCGTGGTGCAGGTTCGAAACATAGACAACACCGCACGAGTGATTGAGTGGTAGAGATTCCGGTTGAGGTGGAGTTTGCCGGCATCAGGGAGGAGCGCCTACAGATAAGTTCAACATTGGACATCAGCCGAGGTCAACCGTCGCGGCATGACTGAACCCATCGCGATATACGCACGCGGCCAGTACGGATACCCTCTGCGAGTGCAGAAGGGCGTCGAATCGAGTACCTGGATGACGAATCAGGCCAAATATTAGAGCCTGACCATTGCTCAGAGCACGTACTGTCCACCGTGAGAGCGATCACGCCCACTGCAAGGACTCGAGGCACAGGCAGTGTCGAAACTGACTGAGAATACCGCACCAAGCTCGAGGATGATTCAATCGAGCCCAGCACTGACCATGCTGTCAGTGTCAGTCAGCCAACGACGCAACAGGAATGTCACAAGCTCCTGAGGTGAAAAAATCTCTTAGCCACCAGAGCGGCATAGAGACTGGTCAAGCGGGCGTATGCTGTAGGCATGCAAAACTGCCGATGCAACTATAGAGACGGATGCTTGGAAGAGGTGAGAGACAAAGGCGCCCGACGATGACCGCGAGGTCAGGAAGTCTGGTCAGGATAGCTGAATGCTAGGGAAGTATACGAGACTGACCTGTACGGGGGATGGCGATGAAGAAGAGGGCGATCGAGCAAATGCTAGGACCGCCATAACTAATCATGTAGGTAGGAAGGGGCAAAGTAAGGACCTAAGTAGTCGATAAGGCGACGAAGACATGATGCAGGGTGAGAGGACATACCGGCGAAGAAGGCGAACACAGTGAAGACGAAGAGGGCCAGTCAGATTGTCTCAATGATTTCTGTTGCATCGTAGGCTGCCAGCACGTACGCGATGATAGAAGGGACGAGGTCAATGTTGCGTAAGGAGCGGAGAGTGAAGTAGAGAGCGAGAGTGAAGTAGAGGGCGATGGGTCCGAGGATGTCGATTGCAGACCGCAAATTGCTTCTATGAGTGGAGCAAAAGCACCGCTCTCTATGGAGCGACGTCAGTGAGAGAAGATTCATCACCAAAAGGTACTGACCGTGAGTTCGAGAGAGCGTGCCATGAGAGGAAGCACTCGGTGCAAGCGGGGTGGGAGCCAAGTGGGAGCTGTACTTTATAAGGACATCAGTTGAATGCCGATCTCGATGGTCATGGTCGAGGTGGTCCACTGACAGTCACCATGCGTCGAAGCAAATGCTATCATTAATTGCAGCTACATATAGAGGTAGATACAGGAACAGCGATATCGTGTATGCGAGCAAGAGAGGGGATCATGAGTACGAGTCGGAGCGGCACCGTCGTGGTGGTGGTGGACGCGAGTCGTCATCGGTGGGCCGGGTTGCTGTTCGTATCGCGCGCGAGCTCCCACGCACGGTCATCCCGCCGCTGCCGCCACTCTCCGCCACTGATTCCCGCTCGTTCCACCAACAGATGATGCAGGAGCCCTGTATCATATGCATAGCTCACATCGTGCTGTGATGAGTATGGCGCGCGTCCGAATTTCGCGCCGACCCGTTTGGTGGGGAGGGAGGAGGCCATCGCCACGATGTTGGGCGGGCTCTCGAGTCCCGTTTTCGGGTGGCCACCTCCTGGCGCCGCTAGCAAACATGCCAACAAACATGCCAACTAGAACTAGGCATACTGCGGCGATACGGGTTACGCGTGCAGACTTCGGCGCGCCACCTACGGCGCCATCAATTTCGACCGCGCGCCGACTCGAGTTCATCTCAGCAGTCCGGCCGCCTTGCCAAGCGCGCCACCGCGCCAGTATTTGCGCGCGTTTCCAGAGATTTTGGGTGTCCCCTTGACGAAAAGTGATCGAACACAGCGCGTCGAACACGGCGCGTCGTCGTGGTCAGGTTCCGAGGCCGCGAAACGTGGGCGAACAACCCGCGTTTTCACCTAGATTCCGCGGGCCTCGAAGTCTAGGTGATTTACCGTCTTCCACCCACATTCCACCTGCAGTCCCTGAACTGCTGATCCGGCCACGCCTTTCATCGGGTGTTGCCGCGCGGTCGCAATCATCTACCACTAGCTTTATTTTCCATGAATAGTGTTGCCTTTACCCCTCCAGACTTGCCCTTGCTATGCGATACAGCGAGAAAGACGTGTAACCGTGAACTAGATGCTCCATGTATTGACAAATGCAGAGGACAAAGGGATCCGAGGAAGTAATATATACAGGCAGATAAGTAAGACTAGGTCGTGGGGTCTACGTAAGGCAAGCGAGGCATGCACGGGGTGGCTCTGAGCTAGCACTACAAGCCGGTCGTACTGCGGACTCGGCAGTGTGGGGTGCAATAGGTGGGATGGCCCTACTATCAGGTCAGTCGGAAGTATTGGGCAGGGAAGGGTGTACGCACTAGTCTGGTGGTAGCATCATGAACTCGTATGAATAGGTGTATAAGAGCCGCATCACAACTCGTAGGTGACACTGAGTACATGTACGCGGAGTGGGAATGCGTCCGCGACACGTAGTTGACTGGAGGCCACTACACGCAGCACTGTAGGACCTCCAGCCACTGTAACGGGAAGAATATTCGCAATCCAGGACTGTCCAATGTGCACATTGACACAGAGAACGAGACCTGGTGAGCGGCGGGCACGAGTAGAAGGCAGGGCTCGGCGTGGACCGCGGGCGCGCGTACGCGCGTGCGCGTCGTCATGCTCACGATGACGCGACTACGAGGTCAGGAACGGGAGGTGTAATGTAGGTGGTGGTTGGGTGAAAGCACGGCCGCTGCGCGCGGGTGTTTCGCAGGTGATAAGGGCCATCACGGGGACCTCGACGCTAACGCCCGCGGCAAGCGCGGGTGAAATCTGACCTCGACGCGCCGTGGAAGATCGCGGTCGTGCAGCTCTATCGTTACGAGCATACTCCAAATTCAGACTGATACGCAAAGAGAGCTCTGGTGGCCCTCACATAGGCTGCACGGGGGTATGGTATCGTCCTAACCGTGGGAATTTGGCCCGGTTTCCGGTGGACCGTTCGATCACTTTCCGTCACCCCGAGTACAGTACCGCCTGGGGCTACCCTCTTCGGACCCATATCTCTCGAGGGTGCGTTGATCAAAAGCTGTATAACTATGTGAGCATGTCTTAGAAGCTTCAAGCGAGGGTTCTATACTTTACTGGCCCATTGACATTGTATGCGCGATTGGCGCCACGGTTGTAGCATAGTTGTGCTGCAGGGTGCCAGATGTCGTTCGTTCGTCATCAATTCGCTGCACGCGAAAGGTGGAAGTGCGAAGTCAAGAAGCGGAGTATGTGCTGTGGGCGCAGAGCGCCACCTGCATGCTGAGCAGTGGACTATGCATGAAGCCCACAGCAGCATTGATAGCTGCATCGACAGTGTATACCACGCAGAGTAAGCCTGAACAGCCGCCTACGCGCTGGCTCGTAGCGCTCGTGTGCCCGGCGAGCGCGGTATTTGACAACCCGTTTGTTCGCGAGGTGATGAGGGAAGTGGTATTTTCAAATGGGACGTGAGTCAAGCGTTCCGGAAAAGAACCGTGAGTGAGTGGCCGAGTGAGAACGATGGTGGGGATAGTCAATGTCATAGTCAACCCGCGCCGCGCGGCAGATCATGTCACCTGGCGAAAACTAAAGGAGGCCGTGGGTAAACCGGTCGCGGCGCACGCACGCAAAGCACGGCACGTCTCGCTCCTTCGTTCTCCGTCTGTGTCTGAGGCCATTTATCGCAATGATTCTGTGTATATATCCAGCCAATGGATCATAACATTCATTTGGAGAAGTATTGAGCCAGTAGCATGAGCCAGTCGGCTCGTACAGATGAAGCAACTCGACGCTGTTGACCTGAATCTCACGTGTGGCGCGGCCAGGGGATCTACGGCTCGCAAGTCGTTACACTTTGCCTGTTCATGCCGAACATGTTCCCTCTTTCACCCGGCCCCGCGAGCGTTAACTACGTCGGCAGAAGTGTGATAGCGAGGGTTCGTGCGCTGGACCTCACTGCGCCCAAGACCACCATGAGCGACGTATGTGCTCCGAATATGTCATTCTCCCCGCGTGGCGTGCGAGCCCTTCCCTCCCCTTTCATATTGTTCTTGCTCGTATGTATGTACCGCGACTCCTCTTGCGTTGGCTCCTTTGATTGTACAGGCTGTGGGAAATCGTACAATTGCGAGCGGTCTCGCGAAGCCCCTCAGAAATATGAGATGGGTACTACCTACCGGGCTCACTGTACCACGGTCGCCGCTTTCGAGGGGCTTCCCTCAAACGCAGGGCGTCCACGCACGTCTGTTCGCGCTGCGAACGGCTTGAGCTCGCGCATCATGCCTGGTCTTGTCCACGTAAGCTGCAGCTGCTCTCCAGTATCCGATAACCCGGGTTGATGCGCTTTCCACTTGCCTAACAGACGCTAGCACACGCTCTCTAAAAGTCCTGTGTGGATGTTTATCTTCACTATATCAACATCCCACCACCTTCTGTCAGCACTCCTATTTTGCCTTCTCCCTCTCCCTCACCCCCACCTCAACACCGACGATGAAGCTGAAAGAGGCACAGGAGGGCGAAGCTTTAGCTAATGCTGCTCGGACCCACGGGCGCTTATCAGAGCAAATGCGGGGAACCGCTCATCTGGACAATCGCGCGCCAGTTGTCTCTCGCCTCCATCCCGACAATCCCACCATGAGCGGCCCCCGCGATGTTTGGACACGTCTCGGCGTCTCACGGTGACATTTAAAAGGCGTGCTCTCGTCCCACTTTCGTCCGCCCGCCCACTCTCCGCTCTATTCTTTTCTTACAGACGATGAGCTCTCAGAACCCAAAAAAGCAAAGCCCGAAGTCGAGCGCCGCTCTCGACGCCTTCGTCATCAAACAGTTGCAGGCTCTCCTCGGCAATCAGCCCATGTCTCAGACAGAGAGCGTCGATACGGTCACTGTCAAACGATACCTCGACGCTATGAAACCATACGTGGTGAGTCACTCTTCGCTCAAGGCTCAAGGTTACTGTTGCTCATTCTTATGTCTTATGTAGGACCACGTTCGCGTCTCGACAGACGACGCCAAGATGCAAGAGTTGTGGAACGAAACCAAACGAGTGTGGAATTTTTGGGCCTCGTTCCTGAGACAGACCGAAGACCAAGACGTGGCGGCGCCGTCCGAAGATGAAGACGTGACGGCGCGGTCTCAAACTCGCGTTAGGCCGAGGACGGAATCTACTGGGTCTTCGACGAGCCTTCCATCGGCGAAGCGTGCAAAAACGGGCGGGAGCTCCCGCGCGACCTCGCGGCAGCAGGAAGAGGAGGAGGGCAGTGAAGAGGATGACAGTGAAGGGGAGGTGGCGACTGGTCGCCGAAACAAGGTCAAAGACGACGCGGTGAGTAGAGCACCATGTCTTCTCTCTTTCCTTTCTCACACGCTGATCACTTCACATTAGGAGTACGTACCGACAACGACGAAGTCGGGCTCTTTGCCAAACGGCCGTCAATCGATCGACGCCCCGACACGCTCCAGTATGC